CTGATGACGTCAACCTTGAACGCCTTGTTCGAGTACTAAGCGAGACCAGGGATACTATTATTGCCGGGGGGAGCCACAAGCATCAACGTGGAGAGTGGGACAAGGGCTGCCTTCAATTGAAATTCAGAAACTGGACTGCTTACTTTCAAGACGGTTATTACTACTCGTTCAATGATTGTATAGTATGTGATGTGCTCCAAGGTTCTTTTCTGGCCTAAACAAGGAAACTGAAGGAAGTGAAGGCTTTGACGAAAAGTAAGTTTGATCAACGTTTTTACCTGGTTAAAAAAGGTCAGAATTCCTTGTTTAGGATTGGAATTACATGGTGTAGGTTTTTCCAAAACAAGATCGCGCAAGATCGAGTTGACCGCAGCGAGTCTGTCAAAGAGGCTGTCACCAAACAAGATATTTTCAGCATATTAGGAGCTCTCTAGATGTTAAGATATGACAATTTAATCGTCATAAACTTGACTTACTAAAGCCCCTAAATCTGCTCGGTTGAGAGCATTTAATCCAAATACAAAAGTGTATGAAGTTGACACGATAACCCAATATATCCAGTGGATGTCGCATTTATCATGTCGATATAACATTTATCAAAGTCTGCCTAGTTTCCAAGTCCTCGTTTATGTGGTTGTTCTTAAACTTTTCCAAACTCAGAGAGAAACTCTATGTAGTGAAAAGGTGTATTAAAACAGTTTTTGAACTCGGTTTTCGCATGACATCATACTCAACCTCATCCAATAATTGTTTATAATCAAAATTATAACAAAATTCTCGGACGTGATTGGTTATCATCACCCCGATTTGAGCACTACTGGGGCAGTGTACGCGTCAGGCTTGTAATTGGACAGTGTAATATACTGGTTAAAGGGACAGTTAACACGTCCGACATGCCTCGTATGTCTCGCATTTCGCCAAGTTAACTGTTGTTGTTGTTGTTTTTTTTTTTTTTTAATAAAACCCATAATCGATGTCTAGTTTCTTTCTCAAATTTTCTTATAGTTTTGATTGATTAGTAACAGGACTTCTTGTCGTCCAATTCTCTCTGCAACCATCAACAACAACAACATACTTTATTGACTTTCCCCAAGGGGGCTTTTCAAAGACAATGTTATAAAAATAATCCTATTACAATTAAAAAATCCTATTTACAATTAAAGATGTTTTAAAATCTGAATGTTCTAAAAGAAAAATAAAAGCATACAAATATATAAAATTACAACTCTTTGAGTAATTTGGTCCTTAAACGTTTTTCAAAAACCTTAACGGAGTTGCACAGTTTAAAGGAATTATCCAAAGAGTTCCATAAGTTTACAGTTCTATAGAAAAATGTTCTCTGACCGCTAGCTGTTCTAAAGAATGGAATTTGCAAAAGCTGCGAATTTCTGGTGCTACGTCGACTAACCTCGGCTCGCTTTATGAATTTTGATGAGAGGTAATCTGGAGCCTGACCAGTCATGCATCTGAAGGCCATAGTAGCGTTCCGGTAGTAAAGCTGGCTTTGAACTGAAAGCCAATTTAGTTCCTTGCGAATTGGTGTAACGTGGTCAAATTTACGCGCACCGCTAACAATGCGGCATGCGAAGTTCTGCACCGCCTGTAACTTGTCAACATTACATTTTGAGGTATTTGACCAAACATTGGAACAATAAAATAACCTGCTGAAAACTAAGGAATTAATAATCATCAAAAGTGTACGTTTGTCGAAAACATGCTTGACACGGTTTATTTGGCCGAGGCGGGACATGCACGAGGAAGCGGTCTTAATTATGTGTTCATCGTAAGTTAAATTAGAATCCAAAATCACACCAAGGTCTTTGGCGGTGTCTGCGGGGACGATGTCCTCACCCATAATGGAAAGGGAGCGAAATTGCAATTTTGCACGCATCTGCCTGCTGCCAAATATCATCAGCTTGGTTTTGCCAGGGTTAAGTAACAATTGGTTGTTGGAACACCATTCTCCTATTTTAAACAAGTCGTCTTCCAAATCAGCAATTGCATCCAGGTTGTCTTTAAGTTCGAAGGAAGTGATGAGTTTCGTATCATCTACATAACTCTGAGTGCTGCATTTCTGTGGGATCGATGGAAGATCGTTCGTATATATGCTAAATAGTAGTGGGCCTAAGATACTTCCTTGAGGGACGCCGTTGGTCACGGACAAAGGCTCAGATAGCGTTGAATGGATTCGTACTACTTGTGTCCTGTTGCTTAGGTAACTACGAAACCATTGGAGAGCGTCTCTGGAAATTCCGACATCTTGCAATTTTAAAATTAACGTGTCGTGATTGACGCTATCGAAAGCTTTGCTCATATCTAATAGAACAACTGCCGTTAACTTCTTTTTGTCAATCGCGTTAAGAATTGTGTCAGTTGTTTCAATCACAGACGTTTCACACGAATGCCATCTCTTGTTACCGCTTTGGCTCTTTGATAGGGTGTCATTCGATTGCAGATACGAGGTGAGCTGATTATGTACTACCCTTTCGCAAACCTTTGATAAGACTGGTGTAAGTGAGATGGGTCTATTATTGTTTGCCTGTTCCTGGTCGCCCTCTTTTGGGATTGGTGTAACCACAGCTGTCTTCCATTTTGATGGAAAAACACAGTTTTGAAAGGATGCATTAACGATAGACGTTATTGGGTGAACAATTGGATTAAGACAATCCTTGATGACACGAATCGGGATTTTGTCTATCCCTGGGGCCTTGTTTGAAGGCATCGCTGCTATTATACGTTCTATTTGTTTATAATCAATGGTACTCAGTGTGAACTGGTCAGAGAGAGCGTATTGTCTCGGTACAAAATAATTCTGATTAAGTGTTAGGTTGCATTCATTAGCCAGGGACGTAATTTTGTCAACAGTGCTCTGACCAACAGATACGAAAAACTGATTAAATTCGTCTGCAACAGCTTTGTCGCTCTTACTGTATGTTCGCTGAGATGTAGATTTGCAGGGGATGCACTGGCGAATTGCTTTCCAGATATTATTGGTGTTATTTGGATTCCTCTGGATTTGTTGGGCCACAAATTCCTGTTCAGCAATTCTGATTTCCCTCTTTACTTCCTGTCTGAAATATCTGTAGGCAGTCCAAGATAGCGGATCATTTGTTTTCTTTGCTTTCTTACGCCAATCATCCCTGGTCTTCATCAATCCCCGGATGTTGTCTGTTACGCATGGATTTGGTTTACAGCGTGCTTTGAAGGTTTTAATTGGAGCATGGCGGTCGAGTATCTCAGTAAATAGCGAATCGAGTGCATAAAGTTTGTCCTCGACATCGTCGAAAACATCAACTATGGACCACGGTGCCAGTGATACGTCGTTGCTAAAATCAACAGGACTGTAGTGTTTAAAACTTCTGGTTGTAATATAGACGGGTTTGGCGCGCGCTTTCTTCAATTTTAAGGTGACATAAACCAAGTCATGGTCGCTAATCGAGCTTTCCATAACCGTAGCCGTTTGAACTTGTCTTGTGTCCGATGCAAGGATAACATCTAGAACTGATTTCGAAGTCTCTGTAACTCGTGTTGGCGTGTTGATCAGTATTGACAAGTTATAGGAACGGCAGAAATTAACAAGGACATTAGCTCCAGGATCGTTGCTATTCTCAAGTCTACAGTTCAAATCTCCCAATAGATAAATTGGAACATTGAACGACGAGGCATAAATAAAGTTCTCTGTGAGATCTGAATCGAAACAAGATAACGATGCGTCCGGTGGTCTATAGGTTGTACAGACAATGAAAGACTTCATGTTCCTGACGTGGATTTTTAGCCACAGTTGGTGAAAGCCAGAGGCCGTGATAAGAGATATATCGCTCAAGTACTCCGTCCTGTAATTTCGTGAGACATAAGCACATACTCCACCGCCAATCTTCGCTTGTCGGTCGATACGGTAGATAACATAGCCAGGAATTTCTATTTCCAAATCCGTAACTGAACTGTTGAGCCATGTTTCGGATACGGTAAATATGTCAAACTTATTTTCCAGTACCGTTTCCTTTACAAGAACGAAATGCTCACGGCATTTAAGCGAGCGAACGTTAAGATGTGCAATCTTCACATTGCCATTTGACTTTTCAGACTTGTTTCTAATAGAGCTGTTTGCTGGTCCAGGGTTAAGTTCAACATCATGTAACAGTTGTATAACAGGTCTAAAGGTCGAGGTTGAATTGGCATAATAGGCTGTAGTAACGTTTGCTCGTTTCACTCTAATAGTGACATGCACGTGTGCCCGCCATTTTGTATTTTCCATTATGCAGAGTCTCCAATCCCAGTTTGCCACTTTAACCGACGTAGAGTGCGGGAAACGTAGACCAAAGTACTCATTTGTAAAAGAGTAGTCATGTTTACCTTTCCTCGAGGTATGAACAAGACACAAGAGGAGTACAAGTCCAATAACTCGGGAGCTCAGAATCACACATCCGCCCTCCTTCATGACGTAGTAGAAACTTCTTTCATGACGTAGTAGAAACTTCAACCAAACTCGTGATTAACAAATCGGACTCCGCTTCGCGGTTGTTCTTACCTTGTTAATCACTCGTATGATTACAGACCGAATTGGACTCCACTCGTTCCTATCATTAATTTGTAATCGGGATCCTCTGGACTGATTCCTTTGTTCTCCGGTTCTCTGACAGATAGCCGGGACTCGTTTCGCATGATTTTTCATTTCTTCTTCTTAGCTTAGAATCCGCTGTCCTTCAGGACTTTTTTGGCGATTGAAATTCAAACACACAGAGAAGGTTATCGTCAGTTGCCCTGACGTTATGTTTGACACCTATCAGCGTGAAATTGCGGACGAGAGTTACGTCGCCTTGACCCAAAAGTGGGACGTGAAAAAATGGGTTGAGTCCAATGGCAGAGTCCGCTAGTATGGCTGCAGGCGTGGATACTCTTACACGAACAAACGCCCCTGTACTCGACCTGGGCAGAGGGCGAAAGGATTTTCTGTCCTACCATGTGATCTAGAAAATCTCGCAAATGCAGTAAAGTTTATAATGAAAGTTTGTGAAGAGGCTGGACTGTACTGCGAGCTCGATGACGGATCGGTTTTAGGTATTTGATTTTTAAAAATTATCAGTTGAGAGCCTGAAGTCATCAGGGATTATCTTAATCTCACTATACGGTCTGAAAAAATCACGTTTCCCTCGTCAGCTGATTGTGAGCAAAATTTAAACCAATCAGTTGCGACTTGTCCCTCGCGTTCTTCCCGCGCCTCAAGCGCGTTCTACCCGCGCCTCTTGTCCCTCAATTGTGTTATTTTTACTTTGAGTTTTCATTGACTCTTTTAGTATTCACCCAAGTTTTGATTGGAAGTAATGACTACTCTGACTTGTTTTACAACGCTCTTCGAAATGTCCTTTTACTTTACACATAGGAAGAAGGGTTAACCATCTGTGTATGCCAGACCATTAAGAAATTAACGGCTGATTCTTACTAATCTGGATTTATATTTGCTAAAAGTATACAAATACGATCGCTTGAAGTTGTTCGTACAAAAGTTGTGACGTCCACTCCTGTTATCGCAACTTCACTTCTAAGGACAACGGTTCTTTCTCACGACGACTCTCAACCCCTTTGTGACTTCAAAGTTTGAATTCTCGTAATAAACCAACTTGATGAATCTTACTCCTTTCTAGGTGCCGTAAAATTCGGTAAGGTATTGCCATGGGGGAAAGATGCTGACATCAGATTTCTCTTAGAGAACTATACAGCATTTCTGACGCTCCGTTCTCAATTTGAAGCGGCGGGTTTTAGGTTCATAGAGGTAAACGGACCAGAGAGGTGTGCAGACGGCAGAAAGACGGGGGAAAGATCTTCACTCATAGAAACTATTGGAGAATTGAGCTGCACGGCATAGGTACACTGGAGTCTCAGTTACTCGTTGCAAAAGGTCTGCGGCCAAAAAAAATCATGTTTGCTGGTCAGTGGGTGACTACCATGCAAAATCCAGGACTTTTTTCGCATAATCGTTATGGGCCTGACATTTATCAGCATGCGCAGCACTGGAATGACATTATGGCCTTCAAGGGCCCATGGGGTCGTTATCATCCGGGTGTCTTCTCCAAATGTCCTATCCCTGGACACTCAGGATATCTTGACCATTTCTCTGCGGATGGTAATTTGCAGTTTAGTGATGATCTCTATGTCTAAGTAAAAATTATGAAACATTATTTAACTGACGAGAGGTCTCTAGGGAAAACGGAATATATTTAAGGACTGGTCATTACTTATCACCTGAGGGGGGAGGGGTCGGAAGATTTTGGTTGTGCCACCAAAAAAATTCCTGATCCCCCGTAAAGTCCTGTGATATTTTTATGACCCCCCTTAATTGGCAGTCAGTTTTCTATGGTTTCTCCCCCCCTCCGTTCCCCCCGAAAACCACGTGATTCCCACCCTCCCTCCCACAGGAGATAAATACAGACTGGTCCCTTGGAACCAATCGAAATGAGCTGACGGTGCCCTCCACAGAAAATATTTTGGTAAGCGACGCTGAGTCAGCTCAGCCAAACAGGGCACAAGCACGAAAGCACCTTTACGTCCAAAAAGCGCACATATCATTATGGAAAATTGCACGAAAGGTCTACAAATTATTTGTGTTCATGAGCTATTATGCTTTAAGGCTAATCCCTATATTACCTCTACTGTAAATCCTCCTCTTGATAGGCACGAGCAGAACAATTAAGAGAAATGAACAAAACAGGTGTAATTAAACGCTGATTACTCCGCTGCACTCAGAAACGATCCCTTAAGTATGTTAGTTAGCTAAAGAGTTGTTCAGTACTGAAAGTGCTGATTAAAAGCTCGTTCTTCTCCCTCTGACACTTAACTCAAGGAGTATGTTTCTCGAGAGTCCCAGTGCTTATAGATCCCGAAAAGCTGTTATTTTACGGTGTTGTTTACATTCAAGACCCTGACGAAGATGTATAGTTTTGAAATTAATAAAATTAAAGATATCAGGTAACAAAAGAGAATGGACTGGTTTTTGAGCCTATTATTTTGAGTTTTTATTCCTTAGAAAAAAATTTCAATATAATAAGGCCGTTGGCACCTGGAAGTGCGAAGAACGGGCCTTCAGGTGGATTTCCAGCGTTTCGTAAGTTTTTCCATCCGTAAAACGTGCGTAAGGAAAACATGCACGAAGAAACGGGTGTAACGAAAACCTGCATAAAGAAAACGTGCATCAGCGAATTCACTGCCGCGTAATAAAGCGTTACAATAAGTATAAAATCAGTTCACCGTCGGTCAGATAGTTTTATTTATTTTATACCCTTGCTTATGATTTTCCGTCAAAACTTCACAACAGGCATTAGAAATGATCTTTGAGGTACTAATTTCTAAAATGCTCCTGGGTGAATTTGGGGCATGATGCTTAATTTTTCAAAACTTTGTAAACGAAGCCCAAGCATTCTTTGGGCATGTCCACGGCTGTAAAGAGAGGTAAAGTCTCTCTGGACAAGCAGATCCATTTCCCATCTTTCTCCAGCTGCCTCATCATTTCTTGATAGTCTCCTAACTGACCTTCCCAAATGTTGAAACAGAGGAGGCCATCTGCAAAGAAGTTAATATTAGGATTTAGTTGACTTTTAAGGTTTCGTCGAGGGAAATTTCCATCCTTTTTTCGAATCGTTCCATGCATCAATCATTCAATTCAGGGAGGTGGTTAATTTGTTCCCCTTCCCTTAAAATATTAGTACATCATCCAACAAAAAGATGAAGAGAGAAGCTGGAGGTCGCGCTCTTGATATAATAAGACATTCTTAAAGCGAATTGGCAGAGAGAAGATTTGGCAACCAGGAAAAGATTCTCGGGTCATGTACCAGATGTTAAATGAATTCACCAAGAAGCCTGTTACTTGAGACTTCATGCCTATCCACATAGGTAGCTTTCACGACCTATTTCATAGTTTAAAAAAAACAAACAAACAAGAAAAATACAAGTTGCTAGTAGATTTTACACGTTTTTCTGTTTTGAAATCTCTTCAATCTTAAATCATCCTTCTTTCCTTTTTGGTTAAAAGTGTTTTTTCATCTTAAGTTTAACCTAAGCATGATTTTTATCGGGGGTAACGTCCGCTTATTCGTAGACCATTTTTTTTATGGCGCATAACACTCAAAACATTACGAGCAAGTTTCCTAAACTTCATTTGTTATGGAGCCCCAACTAATTGATGATTCAGTGTCAAGTCTCACAATCAGCCACAGAAGAGACTCTCCGTGGACATCTGTAAATCAAATGCATTTGTGCCTCGATAAACTCCATTTAAAGACCTACCAGCTCGAACCATTCTGATCATCTCCACGAAAGCAGATGAACTGACACGTCCTTCATGGAGTGCCCCACCAGAAATCAAGGCATCGAATTGCCCTGATTTAATCTGAGGTATCTGCTGCCCGCTCAAAGGCGCGCAGATTAATTCGTTGTAAACATTTTTCTTCTTTGCTTCGTTTAACATGCCAGGTGAGATGTCAAGAGCACATAGGTTCGTGTAATCCAGTTTCTTGAGCTCCACTCCTATCAGCCCCGTCCCAGCTCCAGCGTCCATAATTTTGATCTGATCCTTTGGTTTGTCTTTCAGAACTTCCTTTAAGGCGTTATGCAAACATTTGGCGAGTGGCTTGTGAAAAGCAGCACCAACCGCTAATATTTCCTACGTACGCGTTAAGAAAAATCAAACTCTTATTAATGGTAATAGGACTGAGTGGAGTCCAATTCGATCTGTAATCATAGGTGTGATTGACAAAATCGAGCAACCGCAAAGTGGTTGAATGAATATTGCAGCGGGCCCGAAAAAATACTGGACCTTTCATGAAACGGGCCAATAACTCTTGGAGTGCACTGGGTCATTTTTTCGTAATTCCGATATGTACCTGGTCATAAGTTCCTGACCGTTCATCATAGATGCATTTGAGTTCATCTTTGGATGTTTCTCTCGTTACATTTCCTGTTTTTTCTCCAAAATACTTTGTTAAGACGGCTTTTAACAGATTTTCATCCATTCTATACAAAGGCAAGAAAGGAAAAGAATTATATACACTTGCCTACAAAGACTTGTCATACTCGCCTTATAAGCGATATGGTTAGTACCAAGAACCGTTCCTATAGCAGGAATGGCACCAGGACTGAACAAGATAAGTCAAACTTAGCACACTTAAAATTCCCTTGTATCTATCCCTTAGATAAACGATTCCTGTGTTGTTCATAAAAACTTTAACATAAATGTGCTCGACTGTTAATGTATTACTGAATATCATATATTTGAACTGCGGATTAATAAATGAAGAAAAGATTGATATTCGCAGCAATGAACTTCACTTAAGCAGTATTACCTTTGTTTATGACGAGCAAAAATGGAGACTGAGATGAGCTCGTGCACTATCAATGCCATTAGATTTTCAAGGTGAACAAAACATCACAATCAGGCTCCGAATGTTCGAAGCTTGTTTAACGCTGTCTATTGGGTAAATCTTTTATCCGTTGGATAGTGTAGTAGGTTTTTCTTTCACGTATTCGCTGGATAGCTATTTATCTGTTGCGTAGTGTTATCTGCCCTTTATACAACTGGGCCCAGAAGAACTATCGTAAAACTGAACGAATTGACAAAATAACAAAGTGATTATTACACACACTAATTCCTGGATACCACTGAGGTATTTGCGGCAAGTGAACTTCGGAAAAACCAAGAGAACTTTACCATTCTTTCTTTTACAATTCTCTTTCGTGGAAGTCTGACGTAAATCTTGAATGTAACCCGTAGCGACAGTTTCAAGGCTACTTATGATTTTGCGAACATATCATCAGCTGAGGAAACGAAGTGCTTACCAAAAATTTGAAAAACCACCTTTACATATCACGTGTCGTTGGTGCCTTATCAGTAGTAATTCTACAGTCTCAATAATAAAGGGATTTCCTTAACATGCGGCAATCGGTCGACCAACGATGAGAGTAATGTTGGAGACCGTGCAAGAATAGTTTTTGTTTTTTCCTTGTTGATAGTTAACTATTATTCACAGAAGTGGAGGTGTCTAGCTTATGATGAGTATTTACTGAGCCACGAAGCTCGAAGAAAATTAAATGTTTAGCGACTGGTCTAGATGCTTCTTTATCATTCCTTTGTACGTCACGAATGTGTTCTCAAAATTAATAAAGGGGGTAAGTTTCTAAAGAAACTGTGGTGCTGCGTCGGTGGGAGAGTATAGCAGGTAATTTAGTGTTAACAACTGAGTTGAAAACGTAAATTGGCCACCGTAAAGAGTAAAAAAACTGACGTTTCGAGCGTTAGCCCTTCGTCAGAGCGATTCGCAGAGCGTCAGCCTTTTTTACTCTTTACGGTGGCCAAGTTACATTTTCAACTCAGTTGTTGACACTTAATTAACTGCTGTTCTCGAAATTGTTCGTCTAGTCGTCTTCCTGTTTCGCATAAATAAAGAACTTTTTGCCATAAGTGCAAATTATGCAATATATGAACTTGCCAGAGGTACAGGTAAAATCAGATTGGATCAGTAATTTTAATGGATTGCTCGGGTCCCGATATTTTCTCTTTTAGCCTGTTAAAGCACTGTAAAATGCTTTAAAAGCTAGAAACCTGGAGATCGTGCGAGACTCGTTGGCTGTGAGTAGGTGATGATCTGTCACAGATGTAGAATCATCTCTTACGCAATCTTGTAGGCAGAACTTGTCCAAAAATGTGTTAATTTAAACTGTACCCAAACAGAGAGAGAGAGATGTTTTTCCTCTACGAAAAATACCTTTCTCTAGTTATTTACCGAGTTCAAAACTTACCATCTCTCTTATTTTCATGTACCCAAACAATTTGTAATCGATGAAGAACAAGAAATTTGCAATGCCGTTGGACAACAGCTAGTGTACGCGATTGAAATTTGACAGATCAGAGAAAACCTTTTGATAGGTTTACAGAGGAACTCAAAAAATGCTGCATACCTGAAATCTTTAATGAAAGAGATGAGATTCCTTAATCGACTTTCTTGCATCAAGCACTTTCCTCGACTGTTAAACTCAGTGTGTGATCTCTGCCTGATCACAACGGACACTATGAACCCCCCGATCGTTCTGTCCATTTATTATTTCCAGCAATTTTGCAAGATCTCGTAAGATATGGTCAATGAGTTGAGTCCCTTAGGCTCCAAGAGATTAATGGGTGGGTTTCCGCAAAGTGGCCCCTCGAGGCTTTTGGTGACGTGATCGGGTAAAAGCTGTTTGATTAAGCTTATAGTACTCAAGACGCAAACGCTAACGAGATCCACACATTCATAGACATTCGGTTCAGCTTTGTCCGTTTTCTTGTTTTTCGTTGATCGAATTGTGAATTACGAGATGAGTCCAAGTGGAGGAAAATGAAATCTTTCAGCTTGTTTCATTTGATGGACGCGTCGTTTCTTCCTGCCATTCACATAGATTCGTTTTTACGCAATATGATGCCGTGAAATGAAAGATACGCTTTTCAAAATGAAGTTGTAAAATGATGTTGGAAGAAAATATCAATGGAATAGTTTTTCAAAGCTCTGCTTAAATAAGCTTTTAAGGTAAATCTAGAATCTTTCTTAAGACTGCATTTGCAAGGTTGCTGGGAAGGTAAGCAGCTGTTCGCAAATTTCCGTTATTGCGCCTTATCGCGGAAACTGTTTCGACGATTTTCTAGTAAACCTCGAGAAAAATATAAACCATTTTGGTGAAAAAAGGAGTTAATCACCGACACTGGAAATCGCGACCAGGTATTCCTCGCGACTCCCCTAGATTTGCTTTCCAATTTGCCCGGGCCGCTGCCGGTATGATTTCTTTCATGATGCCGCTTAACAAAGACTCCATAGGTTTGATCATTGGCTTTTTCTCGAGACGTGAGCTTGGGCCGCTTGTGACAAGACAATTGCGTAAACAATATTTAACATAACAACATTGTACACAAAAAAACACAGGGTTTTGGATCACGTATTTATTAAAAAAGAATATCCATACAACTACAATGAAAACAAACATAAGATTCACCTTTCTGATCGTGAAATTAATACCATTCGTACTGTTATCGTAGCTACGTTCCTTGCCATCAAGTGAATCCAACATGTCGTCTTTCTTCAAAAGCAGTTTGCATTCTATATAGTTATGTTCTTAAGTCTCACGGTAGTAGCGTTGTTCAATAGATTGCATAGAGTATATGCAGTTTGGTTTCAGATGTCAGATTTTGCTTTTTACAACAAGTGAAATTTTTTCAACTAAGACATTGGCATACTTAGCATACAAGGCATTCAAGGCTTTCATGGCTTTCAAGCGTTCGCGACTCAATCCGTTCCAAAATTACCGCTCAATAACATCTTTCAGTGTGGATTAGCCGCGATTAATACGACTTGTATATGCGCCTGTAAGTATTTTGCGCGTTTGCGATATAATGCTCGTGGAGATCGCAATCCAAATACGTTGAAATACAAAATAACTGACCAAAGAGCTTTATAAGCAAAATCTCGTGTTCGTCATGTGACCCGGCCCTGTCTGTGTATGACAACGTCAATCATCATCAAGATAACACGCGTGATCAGCATGTGAACACCTCATGGGATCACAGTTAGTTGTCATGGTGTTGAGGGATAACACGCGTGATCAGTATGTGAACACCTCATTGGATCACAGTTAGTTGTCATGGTGTTGAGGGCCCAATGACCTCTGGGTACTATTGCGCAATCTTTTTTCCATTTTGTGGCGAAAAAAAAAAAAAAAAAAGACGACTAAAAAAACAGCACACATTATGTTGTTTCAATAGCTTTTTATGACTGGGCTACCACAGGTATCCCAGTAATGATTGGGAATGTAAACATGATCATTTCAAAGGATTTATAGTCGAAAAGGGAGCCAAAGATTCCATACTAGTAACGCAACCTTACATGCTGTAGGACCACAACTAACAAGTTGACAAACATGTTTCATTTCCACATTACTTTATCCACAAGTTGGCCATAGGTTTCCTTTGATTATGATATTGTATAAAACCCCTTTAACGTAAGAATTTCTATCAGTATCTATTACTTACTCGACAAACCTTTCGACAGTTTTAGGAAAGGATGATAGAGTTTTATGTGGTAACCCAAGTCGTCATTTGTAGTACGTTTAAAGCTTTACTTACAATCGAAAATGCCTCCCAATAGTCTGTTTAGAAGCCTATTCTCTATTTTGCTACTAATATGCAGCATTCTGTACAGGACAGACCTTTTGAAACCCTTTGATTCACAGAAGTGATCTTTAACATGTACTTTGAAATATCGACAAATTATCCAGAAAGCACGTGAAGAGAAATGATAGAATGATTAGTTGAACTGAGAAGGTTTTTAAGATCCCGTCCACGAGAGCACCGGGCAGTCGTGCTACATGCCATTTCACCGATTTCATTGAAACTTTGCCAGTTTAAAGGGTCTACCTCAAAACTCAAAAAGACCAACCGGTTTCTGTTTTGGTTTTTTCCGGGGGGAGATAGACCACCCCCCCGATTTTCTTGGTTTTCACCAAGGAAATCGCTTCAAAATAGGTAAAATGTATGAAGTTCTCACTGCGATGGTATTTAACCAATTACTCTGAGGGTTTGCACACATATTTTTCCATCCTTAGTTAATGTTCGCCACAAGTATCAGTAAATTTGATTGACGGCTTGTCAATCAACAGAGGCAAAGAAACGACTGTGTTTTTAGACTTTTCGATTCATCAAAATATTTGACAACTTTGAGGTCAAATATCTCCCCTTGCCAGAAAGCTACAACACTAATCTTGATTCCCCTTTATAACCCATTATTTCATCTCTGAAAATCATCAAAAAAATCTTTGGGCGCTACCGTATTTTTGTCTTGGATGCCTTTTAAAATCTGCGACTGTGACAAGTTTCTCTCAACTACACCTGTCACGCAATTCTTGCTTTAGGCAGTCGCTTGACCAAATAAACCTACATTTTTTGGCTCTTTATACAAGATGATTGATCAAGAAAGGTGAAAAATGTGAAAAACTC